TTTTATATAATAAGGCCCAGTGATTTGGTTTCAGAGCGCTTGAACAAAAGGAGCCGCCTCAATATCCTCAAAAAAGTTTCTGAAGATACAAAAATTGCGTTTTCCACAAAACCCCAAGTCGAAATTGAATTTAAAAATTTATTGACAGAAAATGATATGAAAAACACTGTTTTGTTACATGAACTCAATATCAATGATACATTTAATTTACAAAGAAGTGAATTTATTAACAAAGCACAAGACCTTTTTGATGACATTAAAGATACAATTTATGGAATATTAAAACATGCAACAGTACAACTCAAAAAATTTGGGAAAATAATTTTAGTTGGTGGAGGTGCACGTATTCCAGGTGTTAAAGAAGCTGTAACAAAGGCGATGACTAGAGTAAACAAAAATGGCAATTGTAAAATTGAGACGGAAGATAAAATGACAACAGTTTCTGAAGGTTGTGCGATACATGCATCTAAATATTTAGGTACAAATGTTTTCAGTAACATCATTCAGAGATCGTCTTATGCAGTTGGACTCAGTGTAAGTGGTGTTTTTGAAACTGTTGTGCCAAGGGAAGTCGTATTGCCCGTTCACTTTGAGAAAATGTACGAATGTGAAAAAGGAGAGAAAGAAATTGTTCTGAGGTTTTATAAGACCGAAATTGAACTAAAAAAGAATGTTGAATACAGAACAAATTGTATGGGATTCAAACATCTAGTAGACGTTAAAATACCACCTGGCGACTCTGTAAAAATAGAAGTGGATGTCGATTTAATTGGAAACACTGCAATCAAAGCAACTCTAAGAAATGGCCAAGTGTTGAAAGGTGGCATGTTGGTTGATACTTCATCACTCGACAAAGAACTGCTTGCATTGAAAAGGCACATCGAAAACACAATAAGTTTTAATTGAGTTTAACTGAACATATTTATTATTATTTTAAAAAAGTCTTTGTTTGTTGATATTGTCAACAATGCTATAAAATACATACAATGTATTTTTTAAAAACATTAACACATTTTAATAACATACAACGTTGTTGGCTCTATTTGATAACACAAGTTTTATATCAATTGTATTAAATAAAATAACATTTAAGTAAAAATAAATCAAATAATTCGACAGGCACTGTAATCCTTTGTCAAATCTTGTGGTTGTGCATTCTGTTGATAATCGAGTTGTTGTTGATACAAATGCTCAAACAATTCATCATTGTCACAAATCTTACCTATCACAAAGTTAAACAACTCATTGACTCCTTCTCCCGTTTTTGCTGAACACATCTTAAGTGCGACTTCTTTCTCGCTGTTGCACAAATTTTGTGCCATTTCATGTGTGATAAGTGGATTGGCTAAATCAACTTTGTTGCATACAACAACATAAATAACGCCATTAGCAGTCGTTTGTCTCGCTGTTTCAATCCACGTATTGACATCTTCAAACGACTTTGGATCGTGTGGATCAAACACAACTTGATGTTACTTCAGTGTTATATATGGAAATAACAATAAACAAACCAAGACAAATTTGTGTATTTTTGAATATCAAAATCCTAATTTTGCACTTGTTTAACTTTGTGTCATTCAATGTTTGTATTACTCAAAGGGTGTTTTTAGTGTTTATCGTTATTATTATAATTATTAAAGTGACATACCTACATCCCACAACACAACTTTGATTTCTTTTTTATTGTAAACCATATATTTCATAATTAAGGCGCAAAAAATTGAATTGACATTTTGGTCGTGAATTTTGTTGTTTACAAAGCGCTCAATGATTGACGTTTTGCCCACTCCTGCATTTCCAACAACATTTATTTTCAATGGGACAACTATCTCTTCCATTTCCTTTAAGATTTAATAGTTTTTTATTTTATAATTTGTTTTTTGAGTTTTGATATTATAATTATGAGTGATGTTTCTATTTATTACTAAACATTCATTTTATTAAATCATATCAATATTTATTCGTATTTATATACATTAAACATTGTTATAAATAATGATATAATATATTAAAATGTGATATAAACAAATGATGAGATTTAAAACATAACAAAATCAGAGTGTCAAAAACCCAAATTTTACACATTGTCAATATTCACATGTCGATTCGATAATAAATCAAACAAAACATTTAATTATATACGGAAACTAACACATTTTTCTTTACAAATTATATTTATTCTAACATTTATATTCATTCACAATATTGTTAAATACAATAAATACATTTATTAAAAAACAAATGAGAACTTAAAACCAACACATTCAATATATGTCGAGATTGGACATTTACTCACTGATGATTGTTTCAAAATATTTTAATTCAATTTCTGATTTTATCAACGCAGAGATGGTTTGAAAAAGTACAACTCAACAATGGAAAAGTTCCACTCAAACCCAATTCACATCACACAAAAGACAATTAAATATTTCCCACACCGAGTTTCTCAGTATTTGGTCCAAACTCGATGAATCGTTTGGTAATGAATTTATTGGAGACAATACAATAGATCTTCCACAAACGTGTTGTACATCACCAAACAACACACATAACACTAAAATATCGTTTTTGAAATACTCATTTGGTACAAAGTGTCATACACTTTCACACAACACAGAAAATCAACAAATTACAAATTCAAAAACATCTGTCTTGAACACACAGACAACAGGTGTCTTCCCAGATACTACGTGTGAATAGCATTGGTGACAAATGCTTTTACAAAAATACATTTCTCAATGAAGTGACACTTCCACGAACACTCAAAACACTTGGGGAGTACTCCTTTGCAAATTGCAATAAAGTGACATCGATACTTTTATCTCACAATTTGTTTTACAGTGGAAAAAACACTTTTGAAAATTGCACTTCACTTGTTTGTGTTGTTCTTCTAAACACAATCAAAACCATTCCCACTTCGTGTTTCCAGAACTGTGTTTGTTTGTCTGTTGTGACACTTCCAAACCAGCTTGATATGGCAAAAAAATCCTTTTGCTATTGTCCGAGTCTTGAAATTGTTGAAATACTGTTAACTACAAATTGTGTTGGGAAGTATTGTTTTGACAAATGCACTCGTATGCAAAAATGACCACACAACACTTTGTTTTATTCTCTCTATGAGAAATTGTTTGATAAAAACATTGTGTTTTGCAATGATAACAACTCTTGTGAATGAGTTGTGATTATTTATGACTGTGTTGTACATAATGATATCAACATAATACTTATATAAAACCCTTGTTTTGTTATTATATTTAGTAAACCATTTTAACAACCAACAACATCCAATACTTCAACAAAAAAAACATGTTTATCAATAAAAGGAGTTTCTAATTGATAATCGCAAATAAAAACGATACATATTTGCTTGTTAAAAAAGGAAATTAATAATAATTATTCTATATACTATAATATTTATCACTATTAATTGTCAAATTATATTTATTTTTTTTATAAAATAATTAACGAGTTGTTGTTATTAATAATTCCATACAAATTCAACGATATAATTAACGATGGTTTCAATTGACAGTTCGTTAATTACAAATAAATGTTAAATAGCAATAGATGTTAATTTCTAATTGACTTGAATAACGAATTCTTATTTTGTTTTTGTGTTTTGGAGGTATTCAATGCACAGAATATAAAGAGAATAACCAAAATTTATGAACACAGAACACGCCACATGGCTGAAACATCAGAAATTGATTTTGCCTCATTGGAACCGACACTGTTCGACCGAATCTCAACACGAATATATAGTACGGTATCCAACAGCTGACCAAGTGACTGCAATCAACACATTCACAACCAAAATCAACTCGATGAATGCCCCATACAACAAGCCATACAAATTTGCACTTTAGATGGAAGATCTCAGTTCATTCCGTACGTTTGGGTTCATCACGGGCTCGAAGTATTAGATTTTTTTTGTGAAAAGGAATAACGACCAGAACAGCGACTTTTCGTATGGGTATCTAATGCACCTGATCATTCTGGAATGCACCCGCCTCGGCCTCAAGACGGTGTGGTTGGGTGGGACATTCACGACGTCCGTCTTCACTGCAATTCAGTACAACTCGTCGATTGATTACATTCCATGTGTCTCTCCAGTTGGAAACAGTGGCAATGGAAGTGAACTCATTTCTATAATGGCTTGCTCGCGAAAGAGAAAAGAGTTGAATGATTATTTACATTGGAAATGCAGAGACTAAATACAACAAGAAGAACGTACCAGAGATGTTCATGTTTAAAATACTCGAAAAAATCAGATTTGCACCAAGTGCTTCGAACAAACAGGAGTGGAGAATTGTTATCAACAAGAACAAAATGCACTTCTTTGGGATCAAAGGAAGTTAGACAGCACTCGACATGGGCATTTGCACCGCACAGGCACAAATCGCGTTGGCTGGAAATAAAGTTGAAGGAAATTTTGAAATTGAAAAGTCGGTGTGCCTGGTGACTGGGAGTACTTCATCACATTCACAGCAACTAACTGATGTAACAAATTTATCTTTTTATCATCTTTTTTTCATTACATTCAAATTTTATATTTTGTTCGCATTATAAAGAAAAGACGTGTAAAAAAAAGACTGGAACGTTTCATTGTGTAAACTTTGTGTGACTTTTGAAATACAGAACAAAAACACAAAGAACACTTATTTTGTAGCCATCTTGATGATTGGGTGTAACTCCTTCACAACTATCTCAGGCAATGCATTCTTGTATTCATCAAGAACATCCTTTCTATTGACTATAAATTTGAGTACTGGCGGTTGTGCCATCTTCGCTACTATCCTCATCACTTGAAAGTGAATAACATTGTCATTCTTCGGGTCAACATGAACACTCTTTCATATAAATTCACACACGCAAATCGCTTTTGTGTTTTTTATTAAGAACTTGAATCTCGTGGTGGTCTTTAATGCCTCGCAAATGAGTAAACACATTTATTACTCAATATACATTGATGATCCGCTCGTCATACACAATATGTATTTACTATTAAAAAATATATTATTATAATAGTTTATTTTATTAACATAAAAAACACCAAATTATTTAAATACTGAATAACATAATACTTTTTTTACATCTCTAATTACTATAATTATATAGTAAATTTAATAATTTATATTAATTGAGGTAAAACAACAATTATATAATTTAGCAATTTTGCAGATATAACTATAATATATAATGATTTTTATAATAAGATTTAGTTTTTAACTATCATTTTGCCAACCAGAGTAATAACGTAAAAAACTAAACAAAAAGGTGCAGATGAAATCTAATTTGTAAAAAGTACAACATGGAAATAACAGTTACACAACTTGTTTCTCAAATTAATAAGGTAGAGGAATTAACAAAAAAGACTCCGATTTATGAACAAACATCTTTTAAGATGGCAAATGAAGAGAAAGCAATAACAATAGACCAAAGAATCGAAGTCTTGGAAGGTAAGATAGACAAAATGGACGAATTTTTATTTAGAAGAGATCTTCTTGTGAATGAAATTGACAAAGCTTTAAACCTATTGAATTCGATAAAAACCGATTATGAAACGAGAAAAACAAGATTGGAAAAACAAGGAGATGAAGACTATGATGAACTTGTATTACAATTAATCGCACTTGAAAAGAAGAAAAATCCAGTTGGTTCGATTCTAAATAATGGACAAAACCTCAGAGTCAAACAACTTCAAAATCAATTGATAAATGAACACTTTTTGGATGATACAATTACACAAGAAGAAATGCAAATAATTGAAAAATGGACTGGATTGAAATTTAAGAGTAAAGTGTTTGATTCTGATAACGACTGTTTTTTGATTGATAACAGCGTTTTTAGTCAGAACATTTGTGGAAGAAAAAATCTTGTGTTTTTAATAGAATATGAAGACGGCGATAAATTTGGAGCAGTCATATATGACGAGATATCTTTACAAAAATATTGCAATTCTCCATATGCATTCTTGTTTGCATTTGATTATAAACACAGTATATGTAAATGGGTTAGGCCCAATTTAACAAATAAGGCATTCTTTTGTAATAATGATAATTCAAAAGACCTTTTTAAAGTATTTGATGTACTTTATATTAGAAAAGAAAACAGTGAATTATATCACAAAGGAGCTTCCACGTTATATAATCTATTATTTGGTAATAACAGGAATAAAAAGAGGTGTTTTTTGATGTCAAGAATGACTGTGTTTCAATTGGTTTAATCCAATTTTGATAAAATGTTGAGTTTTGTGATATAAAATGTTTTCTTTGTCATTTTTATTTAAAATTGATAAATCACTTTTTTATTTAAAGTGTATACATGACATTAACACTATAATTATAGTATATAAGTAAATCTTTTGACCCTACTGCCGCAGTCTTTTCTTTTCGATTTCCTTTTGATGTAAAAATGATTAAAATTAATTATTTAACACAACAATAATCAATTAAATACAACAGAACTTAAATTATATTTTCATGTACATTAGGGAAAAAAATGGGATGCTAAAAAAGGAAGATGCTCACAACTATTAATTATTTTTAAAACAAAAATATAATTTATAATTTAATTAAATAAAACAAAAAACACCAAAATAAAATAATAAATAGATTAGCGTACTTCTATTTTCGGTATTTTACCTTTTCCCTTGACTGTATTACAAATTATTAAACTAGAATAATAAATTGTTGATTATGAAATAATTAAATGACTATATGTTTAAATATAAAATATGTTATACATATTTTCAAATAAGAAACTTATTTATTTCTTACAAAACTCACTTAATTCTTTTGCCATAACCCATTTACTTTGTTTTTAAATATAATGATAATAAAATTGATTACTGATAATCTAAATATGAAGTTTTGTCAAAATTCAAAGTTTTGTTTTTTTATTTACCTCATACAAATAGGTATAAAATGTGAATAAAACAAAGAAAACCAGAAAATGTGCATAAAGTTAGATAAATATCATATGATGGTCTGTGTGAAATACTTTAATTCCATCGACGATTATATCTCCTTTGCTCAAGTTAACAAAAAGTGCAAAGAAATGCTTTCAATGTTTTTTTATAATCCACTTCCCATCAAAAACACAAAAATATTCGACAATATGACATATCAAATTTTATATAATTCAAACGACACAACCGTTCCCCGCTTGGAGAAGTTTATTAATTTTGAAGTTGATTATGAACAATATTTGAATGATAAGAAATTCAATTTGAAATTTAAGAAAGTGTGTTTAGGATCTTCCAGTTTTACGAAACGTCTCAATGAATTACTTCAAAAAGATCCAAAATATAATATACCAAAAGAAGTCAATTTACTTAGGAAATCGTGTTTTGAAAACCAAATAAATTTGACTGAAGTCGTATTGACAAACTCAATTAAAATAATACTACAATATTGTTTTGATAATTGCCAAAAATTGAAAAATATCTCCCTCCCACTTTCTGTTAAGAAAATATGTTATGGTGCATTTTTTAATTGTGTTAGTTTGACTACTTTTCTTATCCCAAATACAGTCGTAATCTCTGATGCCATATTCAATGAAAACAATTCAATTTCTACTCTAATATTATACCCAGACACTAATATCACAGAT